TCAAAGTTTTATTTATTCCAGACTGAATGGTGATCTAGTTGAGACTTTTACACTTCTCCCATTAGCTTAACATCATTTATATAGAGCCGCTGTGTGTTCTAACGGTTTATTATCATATTATTTTTGGTGACTTAATTTTCCTATGATGATTGTCTAATTTAGCCATTCCAGTTATGAAATAGTTTCAAAGGATATTTCAAAAACTTACAAGACTGTTGATATTTGTAGCTCTATATAATTTTAATACCATTTTTGGTAACTTCCAGTTACAACTGTCAGCCCTTTTCAGCTGCATTATTGCTGCAGGATAACTCCTCTACTGAAGTGTTGTTCAGGCAAACTGGGCTGTTGGCTTGAGAAGAGTCAAAAGATCCACAGGAAATACTTTTTGGACTGAAAGAAATTGAACTCAGTAACTGCTTGTTACTTTATAGTGTCATATGAGTATTAGGTGTCTATTTCTGCGTAAAGTGAGGGAGGCTTTGTGAGGAGTGTGGGAGTGGACATACACCCTTTGCAAAAATTAACTCAAAATAGATCACAGACATAAGTGTAAAGCACAAAACTATCAAACTCCTAAAGGATAGCACAGGAAAAAATCCAGATGATCTTGGGTTTGATGATGACATTTTAGATGCAATATTAAAGGCACAGGGCATGAAAGAAAGAATTGATAATCTGGACTTTATTAAAATTTAAAACTTCTCTTCTGAGAAAGACAGTTTCAACACAATGAGATGAGAACTCACAGAGTAGGAGAAAATATTTTCAAAGGACACATCTGATAAAAAACTGTTATCCAAAATATACAAAGAACTTTCAAAACTCAACAGTAAGAAAACAAACTATCCAATTTAAAAATGGGCCACAGGTCTTGACAGTCACTTCACCAAAGAAGATATACAAATGGCAAATAAACATATGAATAGATCCCCCATATCATATGTTATCAGGGAAATGGAAATTAAAACAACTAGGTCCCACAACACACCTATTAAAATGATCAAAATCCAAAGCACTGACAATACCAAAAGCCGGTGAGGATGTGCAACTACAGGAAGTCTCATTCGTTGCTGGTGGGAATGCAAAATGGTACAGCCACTTTGGAAGACAGCTTGGTGGTTTCTTACAAAACTAAATATACTCTTAACATATGATCGAGCAATCATACTCCTTGCTATTTACCCAAAGGAATCGAAAACTTATGTCCACACAAAAACCTGCACATGGATGTTTATAGTATCTTTATTCACAGTAGCCAAAACTTGGAAGCAATCAAGATGCCCTTCAGTAGGTAAATGGCTAAATAAACTGTGCTGCAGTCAAACAATGTAATATTATTCAGTGCCAAAAATAAATGAGGTATCAAGTCATGAAAAGACTTGGAGGAAACTTAAAAAAAGTATATTACTAGGTGAAAGAAGCCATTCTGAAAAGGTAATATAGTGTATGATTTCAACTATTTTACCTTCTGGAAATGACAAAACAGTGAAGACAGCAAAAAACCATTGCTTGCCAGAGGTTAAGGGAGAGAGAGAGAGAGATAAATAGGCAGAGTGCAGAGGGTTCTTTAGGCAGTGAAACTACTCTGTATGATACTATAATGATGGATACACATCGTTATACATTTGTCCAAATTCATAGAATGCACAACACCAAGAGTGAACCCTAATATAAACTGTGGACATTAGGTGATAATAATGTGTCAGTGTAGGTCCATCATTTGTGACAATATACCCCTCTGGTGGGAAATGTTGATAATGAGGGAGCATATGTATATGTGGTGGTTGGAAGTAAATGAGAAATCTCTGTACCTTCTGCTTAATTTTGCTCTGAGTCTAAAACTGTTTTAAAAAATGAGGTCTGTCCTGGCTGGGTGCCTCGGTTGGTTGGAGCACTTTCCATACGCCCAAAAAATCGAGGGTTCAAGTCCCTGTCAGGGCACATACCTAGGTTGTTGTTCAATCCCAGGTCAGGGTGCATGTGGGAGGCAACCAAGTGATGTTTCTCTCACATCAATGTTTCTCTCTCCCCCCCTTTTCTCTAAAATCAATAAAAACATATCCTCGGGTGAGGATTTATAAAAAAAAGTCTATTAAAAAAGTCATTTTGTAATTTCATGTCCCTCTCTAGTTTCTTCTCCATTTCTCTGCTTTCTTTTAAAGCATAACCTTTCGAGACAGTTGTTGATACCCACTATGTCTAGGTCCTCTCCTCTGTTCTCTTTTATTCCCATAACAACAGGCTTTTAAACTAATTTATCTACTACATGTATCTCTTAAATTTACCAGTGTTTACCGTTTTGCTAAATTGTTGATCCTTGATCATCATCGTTTGTGAGACACTTTTTTTAAAAAAATGAATCACTGAAGCCTTCCTTCTTCCTTCTTAAAATAATTTCTTCACATGATTTTAACAACAGCATTCTTCCTTGGTTCTGTTTCTACATCTCTGGCCACTTCTAAATATCAGAGTGCTTGATCTACATTATAACTCTTTGCTTCTTTGTACTCCCTCCTCAGCAATATGATGCAGGCTAAAGGCTTAAACTCCATCCTTCTTACTCTTTTAGACAAAAACTTTGCATTCATCTTTGCTTTTTTTCCCCCTTACACATATAGAAACCAACTTATATGGAGACCTATTGACTATACTTTATATATATTGTTAAATCTAGAATTTGATCACCTCTTACATCCTTCATGAGTAACAATCTTATCACAGTCAACATAACCTCTTGCCTGGATTATTGCTATAACCTCCTAAGCGAGAGCTCTCTCTCTCTCTCTCTCTCTCTCTCTCTCTCTCTCTCTCTCTCCCCCCCTTTGTCCCCCTACAAAGTATTCACAACATAACAGCCATTTGAATCCTCTGTACAAAATTTTCCAGCGGTTTTCCATGAGATTCAGAGTAAAAGCCAGAGTCCTATGAAGCCTCACTTGAACTAGCACATTCTAGATAGTTTTTTTTTATCACTATCTGATCCGCCTTACTATCATTCATTAAATACTCTTATTGTGGTCACTCCTCAGGTTAAGGAATTCCCACCGTTTGTTTTTTTTTAAACACAGGTTCTACTTTCCAATCCCAATCACCCATTTTTATTAAGTAGACATTTTATGAGCACCTGGATTTTATGGATGTATAAAAATGATTAAAACATTTCCTGCCCTCAGGGAGTATTTACAGTGGGAGAAAAGACAAAAATGCAATGAATAAATACAAGATCAGTAACTAGTATTGAATGTGTGCACAAAACACTGGTATGATGAGCAATCAATTAAAATGACCTGATGTAATCCTAGAGGATCTTAGAGAACTATAGCATTTGTTCTAACTGATGTTAGGTGATCTCTGTGCTTTGAACTGTGTCCCAGTTTTCCATACTCCTTTAGTCATACTTATAGACCTAACTGAAGGCAATATGCTGGCATTTGTATACAAAGATAATTATCTTTGGTCCCACATATTAAATTTATGTAATGGTATGGATTTATAAATTTGCATTGTAGCTTGTGCTGCTTGTGGTCAGTAGGAGAGAGAGAGAGAGAGAGAGAGAGAGAGAGAGAGAGGAAAGAAAGAAAGTAGTTTACAGATTCCTTATTTTAACCCAGAAGTTCTCACATAACACATGAAAAATTGCTATCCTACCTTTATGATGCACTCTCATTGATGGAGGCAAAGTTCTGTGCAAATGCTGGCCTGAAAGTGATAGCCATTTTTGTATTCACCCCCCAAAAACGTGTTAAAATACAAGTGAGTGAGTGACTGTGACAGGTGTATCAGCTCTAAGCCATAGAAAAAGTAGCTATTCATGAACTTTAGCATATTATTCTTATTAAATTACTGTAACATCTATCAGGTGATAAATTACTAGGCAACAATACCACGGTTTTAAACAACTGTTTGTTTCAGTGGATCCACAGAAGATATAAGGCTCTTTTATTATTTCAGAATTCATGTTAATCTGTTAAAAGGTAGCATGATGTATTGACAAGAACATGACATTTTTGGACTTCAAAGGACTTCAGTTTGGTTCCATGCTGTAAAATGTATAAATTGCATGATATTGAACAATCCACTTAGGAATATTGAGCCTCAATTTAATTATGTGTACCATGGAATTGTCTTAACTGCAAAATACTCAACAGTTTTGAGTTACTATTATTATAGCAGCACCTTCAATGCACGTTACTTGTCTTTTCCTATTTTGCCCTCATCTCTTTCATTTTTCTTTCTGGAATAGAGGTAGATCCACAATGCTTTGACAATTTGCTTTTTCTAGTCCATCCCAAGCTTCTCTGGTGAACTGGGAATTTTACAGTTGGGTTGGTAGGATGCAACATATGATCAGGGGACTGTTGGTCATACTGAATTACCAGAGAATTTTTCAGTGTTGAATTACTCATTATTTTAAGAAAATTTTCTATTTTTTAAATCTTCTGGGTGTGGTAAGTGAGGAGAAGGACCAAGCTGATTATTGTTTCTAAAGAGAAATTGAAAAGATTGGGAGAAGAAGGCAGCAGGGAAAATAAAACATCTTTAGACGTTCAAGGGACATGTTTCTGGGAGAAAACTCTGAATGCTTGGTGTGTGCTTGTGATTAGAGGGGTCCATTCTGCTCCAATGGAGAAGGGGGCCCAGCTGTACTCTGGCTACTGGGGCCTGATTGGGAGGCCACCCTCAAGTACTTTGCTCTTGCACTCTGCTGCCTCTGGTCCATCAAGAGCTGTCTCACAGAGTCTGCAAAGTTTGAGCTTGAGGTAGAGACTGGTGGTTGTATGAAACAAATCTATTCATTAATTCCACAGATTTTTTTTAGTGCCTAATATATGACAGGGATAGTGTAGACAAAGCATACAACAATCCTGTTCTCATAAATTGTATAAGCCTCTTTACTATTCACTGGATTTTTACTCTCGACTCTCCTCCCCCGATGGGATTTTTTGGATTATCAATATAATAACCTGAGCATTCTCATTGTGTTTTTATTGATACAGGTTGCCATTTGGAGGCACTTTGGTACGATGGGGAAAACACCCAACTGAGAATCAGACTACATAGATGCCATTCCATCTGCCACTAATTAGGTACACAGGCTTCAGCTTATCACAAACTCAGAGTCCAAAGAAAGTGGTAGGTTCTTTGATCATTTATATCACCTCTCTTGTTCTCAGTCTGTGTGGTTCATGATCTATCAGGCAAAAGAGAGGAAGTTCTCTCCTCCTGAATGATCTTCAACATAAAATCATGTGTCCTATTATAGCTTGCTCTCATTTCTGTGCAGCATGAATAGTGGGCACAGAATTCAGGCTTCCATGACACCCAGGTTTTTTTCAGTCAGACGTTTCTGGATTTGAGATCAGAATGTGCTGGTCTGAGAATAATCTGTCAGGTAATTAAAACAGAAGCCGATTTAATATCTCCTGGGGTGGACTGCTGTTCCATTGTTTGGGATCAGGTGTTTTGGCTAATAAAAGACAAGGCATTTTCTGCTTCTTCCAAGAACAGTAAGACTGAACTTCGTTTAAATACTAAAAATTGTTCAAAGTCTGGCAGAGACTTGCATATGTCCCTAATATCTATTTCTCCTTTTCTTTAGTGATAGAGTCTACAAATTATTGGTTGGCATGTTACTATTCAAAATCAAGGCAAAAGTTTCCAATTATCTTGTAGTTTAGAGTGGCTCAGTGACCAAGGTCTGGCCAAAGGTATGATATGTGAACAATTTCTTAATAGTGCCTTTAACAAAAGGGCAGGCTCTGTTTTACATGCCATCCCCCCCTTCCCCTGCCAACTTTTCCAAGCTTAAATTGAGGACCCTGGGTGGCAATGGGTGGTGAAGTAACATTAAAGAAGGATTTGGGGTCTCCAGTTATGTGGAACTGCCACATGAGCCTTGAACTACCTCTTCAGTCTTTGATGATTTTCTTAAACCATTTAATATTATGACCTATTTGTTTCTTAAACCATTGAACATTATAGCCTATTGTACATCTCAATGAATACAAATATAAATTACTCAGGTAATAAATAAACATACAATGTTACATTATCAGAAATTTTCTTTGACCTATAACCAAGCCAATTCAGCAATATTCTATGTGAAAAATATCTATCTATCTATCTATCTATCTATCTATCTATCTATCTATCATCTATCTATCTGGAGAATAGTGAGCATTTAGAGATGATCTATAAGAGTGTGGTTTTAACATATTCTTTCCTTCATTACTGTTCTTTGGAGTAAACATTGAAAAACATGATGAAAACAGAAACATCTGATTGAATTTGAAATTCACATAATTTTTAAATTACATTTTAAAAATTGTAATTCTGTTATCAATAAAACATTTGTTATAATCCATGATCATTGAAAATCACACTAAAATAGAGAAGTCCTGAAAAGTGCATAGAGAACTTAAAAATTATTGTGTTGTGGATACGCTAATATGGATTTCCTGATTTTAGACATTGATCTTCTCACCAATAATAATACATCCATGATTGCATTAGGTGGCTAAATTTGTTTGTAAAAAGGTTTCTTGTAAACAGGCAAGAATAATTAAACCACTCAATATTAACTGAATAATATATTGATGATTTTAAAACAGTTTGGCTAGCATTTTCTTCTGCTTTAGTAGTGATGTCGCTGTGAAATGTGAGGATAACACTTCATGTGTTACTATTTGTTGTGAAGTGCTTTAATAAATGTTTAAACAAGTCATTACCATATTGACAGCATTTCTTATCATGAAACTGTAATTTTATATTGATTGTCATGCTAGGCTTCCCACCCCCTTCCTCTGCCTGAAATGTGAGGACACCTAAACATGACCCTCAGAGAGTGCTACAGACTGCACTGTTTAGTTATGGATGTTTGTTCTTGAGTCTTCCTCTCTTCAATATCAAAGAAGGAAGGACAGTCATCCCTTCTTTCCACAGTTAGGTTGTAGCATGTGTGGGAGGAGCAAATCATGTTTAGTACATTCTCACTGCTGGGAGAGCACCAAGATAGCATCTTTGGAAGATAACAGTGGCTCATACACAAGTAACCTCAATAGCAGTAGCAGCCAGAAAGCCCCTTCTCAACTTGTCTTATGGGTTTCAAACTTGCAGCTGAGTAATAAGTATAGTTGAGCCTCCTGGCTCCTCCAGTTGAAGGCCACTGTTTTACCTTCACAGATAAATAGACTTAAATTAGATTGATGACAGTCATTCTTTCAGTAGTAATTATGGAGCTACTATGTGCGTGATAAATAATAGCTAATCAGGTGTTATTTCTGTCCTCTTGAAGCTTTCAGTCAAGTAGTAAATCTGTATCCCTGGTTTTAGCTTCCTGTGGTATGTCCTTTTGCTGAATGGGTTTCCATTTCTCTACGATCATCAGACTGCTCTACTGAGAACTCTTCCCCATGAGTTTCATCAATGAGAAGAGAAAGCTTGACCTGAATATTATATAGTCCTTTCAGTTACACAGTCATGGAGATGGAAAGTTTTCTTAGTTTATTGGCTGCATACTTATTCCTAAAGAAAGACTGGGGTTTTTTTTTCCAGGAGTATGGCCATTCAGTTTCTGCCCCAACACCTTTTAAAAGGGTATTGTGCTAGATTTTATCTAATTTCTTGCAATATAATTCAGAATTTTCCAAATTATGATCATAAAAGTTATGAGGTCTGTATGGCACAATTTGATCTTAATGGGCCCATGTATAATCCTAGTGATGACCTATTTCTTCCTAAATTCTCAAAACTTAAGCAAATATTTAAAAACTTGTTCAAAGATATGATTTTCAGGTATGGGTTTTTGGCATCTACCTTTTTTCCCAATTGAAAACCATACAGTTGCTCATCAAGTTTTATGTCATCTTTTCTTTCCTCCCTATAAATGTGAGACTGCACTGTATTCTTTTCCTATGTCACAGATGTTATTCTTCCTATTAGAGTTTTTCCATTATATCAGGGCCTTTTTCTTTATTCTCTGTTAGCATTCTCTGGCTTTTTCTTGTGTAGTCCAAGAAAATAGTTTCACTTTAAAATAGTTGTTCTCAACCAGGGATGCTTTTGTCAGCCGAGGGGTCATTTGACAATGTCTGAAGACATTTTTTTGGGTGTCACAACTGAGGGAAAACCAGCTGTGAATGGTATCTAGTGAATAAAAGCCCAGAATACTTGCTAAACATCTTAAAATGCAGAGGATATTCCCCTTAACAACGAATTATTTGCCCCAAAAGGTCAATAGTGTTGAGCTTGAGATAATTTGTTTAAAACAATTCAAATATTTATTTGTTCTTATTATGATGTTTTTAAAGAATATTTTCTTATTATGTCCCCTCTTATATCCAGTTAGAGAAGTTGCCAGTTACTGAAGTATTTTAGTATGCTTTCTGTCTTCACTGGTTCATTTACTACAAACATTGGAATATTTGCCTGGTCTAGGTACTATCTAGATAATACAAAGATAAGTCTTTGTCTCTGACTTTATTGTAAAAAATCAGTATTTGTGAATTAAGGTAATTATAGTTAAAGATAAACCTAATTACTCATGTCAGAGCAGACAGAAAGTGCCAGAGGAAGTTGGGAGGATTGGCTGTTTTTTGCTGAAGGGATATAGGAGATATAATGGGGTAGATAGCAGTGTTGCTGGGTCTTAAAGAATAATCATATTTCAACCATGCTAAGGTGAGGAAACAGAAGTGAGAAAGGAAGAAAGCACGTGGAACCAGAGCAGGCTAAAGGGACTGTGGTAGCAAGTTCCACTTGAGATAGAGTGCATGAGAGATGTGGTTGGAAAGTTCTTTGTTACCAAGATGTTAATGGTATAGGACAATTTGTTGTTTGTCTGGAAAATATCCACATCAGGATCATTACAACAGTTTTTCTTTTATGAGTGAAAATTATATATTATAAAATAACACATTTTGTCATCTTATGTTGAATAAATCAAAATTTTAATTGCAATATGAATTTCTTTGGCATTGTCCTTAGTTTCCATGAGTATTTTTATTGCTTTATTTTACATCAGCTGATATTCTTCAAAATCAGCAGGCAAAAACTATTTTTTCTTTCAATTTTGAGTCTGAAAATTCACCTT